CCCCTGAATGGGATACTAGTCCATCACAGGTTACCCAAAGGCATTTTGTACCCTCTTGAAATTCAGTTTTTTTTTTAATTCCATTCTTTTCTCCAAAAATATCGTTTGCCCTTTGAAAGGCACACCCCCTCAGAACTTAAGCTGACTCTCTGTTCTCAAGGGTTAGTACCTGTTGTTTGGTCTTTTGATGAGTCATGAATTTTTTTTCCTGTTGTTTTTACAGCTTTTTTTTCTTGTTGTGTTTTAGGTGTGAGTGCATCTTCTGGTTCAATAGAACTGTGGGCTTCGATGATTATTGGACTTATTGTTGGTATGATATCATCAGTTGTTTCATGGTCTGTACAGAAATACCAACCTTTATGGACCAGTATGGGAATGCATGATATCACTTATATTCATGGTGTTCCGGGCATCCTCGGGGCAGTAACAGGTAAAACATCTCAAAAATAACTATTAAATCGTGTAGGTATGAACTCTATAATGTTCATTTACCATATCAACATGATAATAATGGCAAATGTTGAATTTATTTAGCTGGTCTGTTCACAAAATCCTCAAAGGATGTAGCAAGTGAAAATGGTGCTTTCTATTCCAATGGTGCTCAACTGGGTGTTCAGTTGTTGGGTGTAGTCGTTACAACCACGTGGTCTGTACTATGGACTTACTTGTTGATTTGGCTCATAAGAATAACAGTGAGTACGATTTTCTCTTCTTCTCTGCTTTAATTGGTGGGTGGAAAATCCTTCGATACTGTTAAATTTTCAAAAGGAGATATGTTGATTGAGACATCGCCGACTATTGGTTGGGTGTTGGCCGACCACTGGCCGACTATCAGTCGATCATGAGCCGATTTTCCATCGACCATCGGCCGACTTATCGACCAATGTAATGATATAACTTCGATTTTGTTTCAGGTCGGACTGAACTCAGGTAACACAAACAAAATGTTTGGCGCGTGTGATACCGCGAAAAGTTTACCGTCATCCGTAGTGAACAGTGAGAGGGAAGTGCTTCGCAAGAAACTCTTCAAGGTGGCTGCTAAAGGAGATTTACAGGAATTGGATAACTTGCTTGTTCAGCAAGTGTCTTTTGGCGTACAAGACTTTGATAAACGAACGCCACTGTGAGTAAAGCAAAAACTGAATTTAATGTTTTGCAAATTAACGGAAATAGTACTTTTCAACCATTCTCCCGCTGAAGGAAAAAAACAAACAAGCAGGAGAGACCCCAGATTGTTTTCTTATATGATTCCCATGATATCAATTGTTACTTTTCTTGTAAAAAAAATATTTGGAAAATAAATCTTTTTCGCGCGGTTTCATGTTTCTGCTGGTGGAATGTATGCAATTTTAAGAAAACTCCGGCGTTTGTCATATTTTGATCTGCTAAATTGTTTTGTAGTCACGTGGCCTGCATGTGTGGTAATCTCAACTGTGTAAAGTTCCTTCTTCGGCAGCCTGGTGTGGATATTCACGCAAGGGACCGCTGGAAAGCGTCACCGCTGTCTGGTAAACT